GGGATGGGGGGGGGGGGGGGGTGGAGGGCGGGGGAGGGGGGGGCTCAGAGGACCAGGAGGCTCAGAGTGGGGGGCTGAGCTGGGGGGATCAGGGGATGCGGGGATCAAGGGCGGGGGAACAGAGGATCGGGACTGAGCCGGGACGTCAGGGAATGGGAGAACAAGATGTGGGGGCTGAGTTCCATGGGGTCAGGAGTGGAGGGGTCAGGATGGAGGGGGCGCGGGGCGTTCCTGGCCCTCGTGTGAGTGTGAACAATGGCCATGAGTCAGAGCGGGCTCCGGGCCACCGCGGGGGGAGGACACGGGTCCCTTCCGAGCCCCTCCGAGGTGCGGGGTCCCCGCACCTCCATCCCCACAGGACCCCACAGACCCCTCCCCATATGTCTCCTATGTGCCCCCCAATGCCGCTCGGCCCAGAGCACCCCAGTGGGTCCCGTGGGCTGCGGGGGCCGCGCCGTGGGACAGGAGACACTGTCACCATGCCACGGGCAGCGGGCACAGGGCTCTCTGCCGGCGGGCTCCGTGCTCTGCCCCAGAGCCCCCCGCGAGCCACCCCGGCGGGGACACCTCCATGGCCAGGACACCTCCACGGCCAGGACACCTCCATGGCCAGGACACCTCCACGGTGGGGACACCTCCGCGGCGGGGACACATCTCCGGTGGACTCGGGCCATGTGCGAAGGTCCCCGCGAGCGAGGAGGGGGTCCCCGACGAGGCTCGGAGCTGCGGCAGGTGAGTGCCCGTGCCCCGGAGCCCCGTCCGTCCTTTCCACCCCATTCCTCCCCATCCCAGCCCGTCCGTCCCACCTGGGCACCCACCTGGGGGGCTCGGTGACAGCGGCAGGGGCAGCGGTGACAGGGGGGTCCTCGGGCGCGGGGCCGCGCGGGCGCGAGCAGAGACCGAGGCCGGGGCAGGTGCGGGGGGCTCCGGGCAGGACCCCCGGCAGGTTCCCCATCGCGGCCCCACTGAGCCGGGAGCGGCCGCTTCCCGCTTCCTACTGCCCGGGGAAGTGGTGACGAGGCCGCGACGCCCCCGCCCCGCACACAATGGGCACCGCCACCTCCGCCGTCACCGCCACCACCACCGCCACCGCCACGCGGCGTGGGACACACGGGGACCCCACCGCGCGGAGTGGAACCCAATCTGCCCCCGGCCCCCGGCATGTGGCCATGGGGAGGGAGCGATGGCACCCAGAGAGGGGGACACGGCACTCGTGGCGGGGACATGGCCCTTGGGGGGACTTGGGAACACACATGACACCTGGGTGGGACACAGCCTGGGGGGGACAGGGAACTGGGGGGGCTATATGGCACTGGGGGGCATGGCAGCCAGAGGGGGGCACACGGCACCTGGGGGGACACAGCACTGAAGAGGACGTGGCACCCACGGGGCATGGAACCGGGGGGACACACGCGGCGCCAGGGGAACATACACATGGCACCGGGGTGGACATGGCACCCTGGGGACACAGCGATGGCACCCAGAGGGAGGACACAACCCTCATGGGGGACACACAGCACTTGGGGGGCCGCGGTGGTGGCAGGGACCCCCATCCTGGCCACAGGACACTGTACGCCCCCACACCTTTTCACCGGGTGATTGGATGCCCCGGGGGGGGTCCCGAACCGCCCCCAGACCCCCGGCCGTGGGGCGGATGTCCTGCGAGACCCCCCCCACTTCCCGCTGCTTCCACCCAGTTCCGGCCATTGACGCGCTGGGCGCTGCCGGGGACCCCAGGTCAGCACCCCTGGGGGAACCAGGCAGGGGGGTGCACCCCGCGACCCTCCCGGGCGACCCTGGGAACCGCGCGGGGTGGGGGTTCACCCCAGCTGCCGGCGGGGAGGGTCTTACAGTGACCCCGGAGTGGGGCGGGGGTCGCGGGGTCGCGGGGCTGGGAGTCCGGGACGGGGGTGCTCTTGGGGTGCGGGGGGTGGCGGGGCGTGCGGGGTCCCCCGGGTCGCGGCGGGTGAGTCCCTCCGGAGGTCGAGGAGGGGCTCAGCCCGCAGCTCACGCAGCGACGGGAAACCGCGCCCGGTGCCGGGCCGGCGGTTCCTTCCTGCGGGGGGAGAGCGGGGCGGGGGCACCGGGAGGCGCGGGGCGGGACCGAGGCATCGCGCGGGGGGCACAGCCGGGCCGGGGGGCGCCGCAGGGACCGCCGGGGGACACGGAGGGGGGTTCGATCACCCCGTCTGGGGGGATGCCGGGTCGCCGCCTCCGCCCCGCGGTGTTCCCCGCCCCCGCGGGCCGTGGGGAGGGACAGGCCTGTCGGTCACGGCAGAGCGCCCACCCGACCGTCCGCCGTGCCCGGGGCGGGACTCGGCCGCGGGGCAGGCGGGGGTGATGAGGGGCAGGCCTTGACACCCCCCAGCTCCCACCGCCCCACAGCCCCTCCAAATCCACAGCCTCCTCTGTGCCACGGTCTCGTCCAGCCCCACAGCCCCCCCGTACCCCACAGACCTCCCCCGCACCCCACAGTCCCCCCG